TCGTCAGTCTGGATCGCTCCAGCCCGACCCTCACCGTCCGGCAGCCGGCGAGCGTCGCCTGGGACCGCGCGCTCCCGACGGCGACGATCACCCTGGCCGGCCACGACCTGCAGGTCATTCCCGACACGGGGACCTCGGCGTTCCTGCTGTGCGACCTGGTGGAGGTCGTCGACGCCCCGCTCGACATCCAGGACGTCCCGGACGACCTGTGCATGACCACGACGAACGGCCCGCAGAAGATCATGTTCAAGGCCGTCGACGCCCCCGTGCGCCTCTCCGGCCGCGAGCGCCGAGGCACCGTCTTCCTGTGCGAGACCCAGCGCGCCCTCGTCGGGATGGAGCTGCTCCTGGGCGCCGTCCTGCGCTTCGACGCCGACGGCTCCTTCGACCTCCATGTCCCCAGGGAATCCCTCGACCCGCAGAGGCAGCACTGAGGCGCGGAAGCGGCGTCGGGCGAGGGGCGCGAGGGAGGCTCGCTCGCCGACCAAGGAATCGCGCTTGAACACTGAATTTGCTTAGAATGTTTGATTCATAACAATAAAATAAAAGAAGATTTTTTTTTTTTTTTAATGAGATGAAAAGAAAAAAGAAAAAAAAATATATATATACATATCAGTATCAGCTGTGCCTCCCCCTCTCTCTCTCTCTCTCTCTCTCTCTCTCTCTCTCTCTCTCTCTCTCTCTCTCTCTCTCTCTCTCATTCTATCTATGCTATTTATTCAGTCGGATCAACGGCACAAATTGATGAAAAGGGCCATGCTGATCATTTCTTTAAATCGGCTTGCATATTTACGTCACTCGAAGCTCAAAAAAGGCAAAAGACGGGACTAAATACACGAAATATGAAAATAGATGGAAAAGGTAAGCGAAAGAAAAGATGTTTCTCTCTAGTTCTGTCTTTCTCACTGCCTGTCTATCTGCTCCCCCCTCCTCTCTCTCTATTTCTCTCTCTTCCTGTCTATCTATCTGTCTCTCTCTCGCTCTCTTTCTCTCCTTCTCTCTATCTTTCTTTCTCTCTCCCTCTATATGTCTGTCTGTGTCTACCTGTCTCTTTCTCTCTTTATCTCTCTCTCTCTCTCTCTCTCTCTCTCTCTCTCTCTCTCTCTCTCTCTCTCTCTCTCTCTCTCTCTCTCTCTCTCTCTCTCTCTCTCTCTCTCTCTCTCTCTCTCTCTCTTTCTCTTTCTCTTCTCTTTCTTTCTCTTTCTCTCTCTCTCTCTCTCTCTCTCTCTCTCTCTCTCTCTCTCTCTCTATTTATCTATCTATCTCTATTTATCTATCTATCTATATAAAAATCTATTAATATATATCTATTTATATATCTATCTGTCAGTCTTATCACTCCATCTGTCTATCTATCTATCTATTCTTGAGTTTGTAAAACCCGAACGGGAAAATGGGGTGTCCATTTTGCTTTAAATATGTGAAGTGTTCCAGCTGTATTCTGGTTCGTCGGCTGCTTAAGGAAATACATGGATGAAATGAACAGACAGTATAGAAGGAAAAGGGAAAATTAAAGAATGCAAGGTGTTCGCAAAGACAAGACTGAACTGATATAAACTGAAATTAAAAAATGGTAGATATTGCTTATGTTTTGTCACATCTTGTGGTTTCGCCTTGATAGAAGAAAAAATCACAAAGCGATGAGACGAGAATACTGAGAGCTGTAAAATGAATGTTAGAAATATGACAAAAAAACTAAAGACACTTCACATATCACTTTCTTTTCTACAATTCATAGACATGATATTATATATGTTATATATATATATATTATATATTATATATATATATATATATATATATATATATATCACACCGCCCCGTAGTACAGAAGATAGAACACGAGACCAGCATCAGTTCATATCTCCCGATAACACGTTGGATGTGTTAATCATTAACCCTCCGTTGGCCGTGAACATGACTAAGAAAAAAAAAACTGTGTAGCGTAATGGCGAATCAATTCACTTCCCTTCGTCATTTCAAGGGAATAGCCGCCGAGGGGATCCTGCCGCGGATGTGATTTTGACACTGAGAAAGAGAAATAAAGGTTGGAGATATGTAGTGACTCTTGATGCATTTACTCAATGAGAAGCTACCGTGGGCTTGCAGGGTTCCTGGAATATGACCAAGAGGCAGCATTTCGGGGCCGATACCTGCTTGCAGCTCATGTCTCTGGGCTGTCAGACCAAGAATACACCTCAGGATTTCTGATTTGGGATTTGATCTGCTCTTCTGTATATACCGAGTGCCCAAGAGGAGCGTGTGTAAAACCACTATCTTTACTTATGTATGAGTAGATAGATAATGTCTATGGGTGCTAGATAGCTCCTAATTGCACATTCCTTTTAGTGGGTCGTGTATCAGTGGTTAGAGTGACCGTCTTGTAAGTTCCTTGTAATGGCGGTGAGGGTTTTATATTCATATATATATATATATATATATATATATATATATATATATATATATATATATATATATATATATACATATATATATATATATATATATATATATATATATATATATATACATATACATATAGATATAATAGATAGATAGATAGATAGATAGATAGATAGATATATAGATAGATAGATAGATAGATAGATAGATAGATAGATAGATAGATAGATAGATAGATAGATAGATAGATAGATAGATAGATAGATAGATAGATAGATAGATAGATAGATAGATAGATAGATAGATAGATAGATAGATAGATAGATAGATAGATAGATAGAAGATAGATAGTAGATAGATAGATAGATAGATAGATAGATAGATAGATAGATAGATAGATATAAATAAATAAATAAAAAATATAATATATATATATATATATATATATATATATATATATATATATATATATATTATATATATATATATATATATATATATATATATATATTATATATATATATTATATATATATATATATATATATATATAATATATATATATATATATATATATATATATATATATATATATATATATATATATATATATATATATATATATATATATATATATATTATATATTATATATATATATATATATAATATATATATATATATATATATATATATATATATATATATATATATATATATATATATATATATATATATATATATATATATATATATATATATATATATATATATATATATATATATATATATATATATATATATATAATATATATATATATATATATTATATAAATTATATCTAAATATATATTTATATCTATCTATATCTATCTATATATATATATATAAAATTATATCTAAATATATATTTATATCTATCTATATCTATCTATATATATATACATATACATTAATTAATTAATCTATAAATATACATACATATATGTGTGTATCTATACATATATTTACGTGTGTGTGTATTTGCAAGGAACAGCTTGGGTTACCATCCGAAGAGCGCAGGCCTCTTAGCAAGACTGCCAGAAGAGAATGTTACTGCTGCACCACACAGCACCCAGTATGCAAGTGTGCAGCCATACATGTGCATGTTTGTCTGTGAGTGTCTTCTGATACCAGGATATTGGTATATAGATGAGAACACATACACAAGGGAAAGCATTAAAACAAAATTCATTTTTTCAACTGTTTTATTGAGAAAAAAGTATTCAGACTGATCCAAAGCCCTGAACTTATTTCTAACATATGATGCCTAATTTATAAACGTGACTAACGATGAAAAAATTTAGGCCTGGGAGTTGTGATGAAGATATTCTAGCCACAAACTAGTACTATTGTGTGAACTAAGTAATAAAATAATGGAAAATATATCACTTACAGCTTTCCCCTTCTCTTCCCATCATTTCAAATTGTTTCCCAACACATGTAAAAGCATAAATATTCACAATACATCTGCCTTAAAATGCGACAATAGGAATAAGCTATTGCATGTTTTAAGAAGTTTATCAGTCTTGTCACAGGTGAGTTCCTTTCTTGAGACAACATTCAAAACACGAGAGAAACTTTATTTCTACTCTTCTCATTACATATCCTTATCAACATTTCAAGGGATGAGTGAAATTATTTTTTCTTCCTTTAAATAATAATACAATTTTAATCATGATTTGGTCTGTATGAGAGGGGGAGACCTTCATATGCTAGGGACCTTTAATAAGCGTTTGTTTACCATTCACTGTGAAGTGATGTGATGTAATGATTATATAATGAAATGCTCTAAGTCTTACAATATTAATCTAAGAACAGAAAAAAAAAAAATTAAAACAGAAAAAAAGAATTTCAATAGCATGTTTAATGGCCACCACTATGTATCAAAAATACAGCATCAAAACTTATCTCTTAATATTAGGACTAATTACGGAACAGCATTTTCTTTTGCCTTTTTTTCTTTTTTTTTTCATTTCACATGAATTAAGTAACAGCAAATCTACCTGGACTGTTTAATGTATTAAAAATGCCCTGGAACTGTATTTCCAGGACTATGCCAGATTACATCAATAGCCTGACAATTCTTTATATCTTTTTCACCACTGAGTGAATTCCAATGTAAAGCTTTCAGCTAAAACAACGTACAAAAAGGACTCTCTGAACGACATACATCTTACGTCAAACAGACAGACAGATACGGGTACTTATGTTTGGACTACTGCGTATCTGTTATTCACATATCCACCTCTGACATCAAACCTAAACACCACTACTTAACACGTGTAGTGAATGCATCTCATTGGTTGGATCAAATCCCAGCTCTAGTTCAGAAACAAAATTATGGCTAACACTGACATTACTATATCTTAACACCATCTTCCATACAGTTAACCTTCACGTTAAAACTTAATCGATCTTTGCTGCTAGACCTACATATTCCTATGGCTTTTGTAGAAAACAAGCCAATTACATAACATATTAAATTTCATTTATCCTTTCTCTATTCTTATTCTTACAGAAAAGCCAATACCACTTATCCAAAACACACAAACATTATACTTGCAAGAACATAACATTCTTGTTCCGATTCACTTCATATAATATCTTTATCATCCAATGCTTTCTAAGCACAAACTGAGTATCTCAGTCCAGTCAAAAGAAATATTAAATCTTTTTGTATCTTTATTATCTTGACAGGTTCTCGTGCGAGACATCAAAACTTTTTCTATGCCACAGATCCACTAGTATAAGCAGCAAGTAATTATTTCAATTTGTCGTGAAACATTCTAGAAAAATAACGTCTGTCTGCAACTTCTGAGTGAAAATCCTACAGGTCAGTGTTCATTCAATTCACAAATTAATAGACTTAATCATACATAGAAAAAGGTTTTAATATTGTCTACATGCTTGTATGAATGTAGTCAATTGGGAGAAATTAAATTCTTTTCTTTGATATTGATAAAATAACATTGCCTGGACAACAAAATGGCTCTTATTATTATCATTTTTTTTTTTTTTTTTTAACACAGAGCTTTCCATTAGATATCCTATAGCCCATTAGAATTACCAACGCAGGATCATTACTCTGTTACAGACGAGGCAGTCACAAGTCTAGTGCTCTTTGCTCTACCCAACACGTTATCTTGGTCGCATACCACACTACATTTACACGATAACTACACTGCGTAAATTGCATGGACTGTATTAAGCAGAGAAATTGTAATCTAAATGGGTACAATGAGCCTAACAGAGGACTCATTTGCTATAAATATATTTCATCTTTGAGGCACTGTTGAGAGTATCAACACATCTGAAAACTTCTTAAGGAAAAATTATATATGTGTACACAGTGTATATATGTGTGTGTGTGTGTGTGTGTGTGTGTGTGTGTGTGTGTGTGTGTGTGTGTGTGTGTGTGTGTGTGTGTGTGTGTGTGTGTGTGTGTGTGTGAGAGAGAGAGATGCAAATGCATACATGTATGAATGCAAATGATTGTACTCTTGTGCACAAAGACAGACATACACACACAAAAACACACACAGACACAGACACACGCACGCGCGCACGCACACACTCACTCTCTCTCTAAGCACATACACATGCATGCACACACGTATGAACACAAAATGACAAAAAGATTCTCAGTGTTCTTGGACCAGGCGATATGTCTACCAAGAAGTGCTTCAGATGTGTTCTTCAAGGGAGTGGGAAGACCTCCGTTGGGAGTAGGAGAGAGTTCCAATCAGGGCAAGCAGAGGTCTTGCCACCCGGGCACGAAAGTGGTATGAGGATGGCAGATGATGCTCTGAAACAATGATTTATACACACAATGGGTCTTTGAAAGCAGTGGCTGTGAATGATGATTAACGTGACCCGCCTTCAAAGTTGCTTACCAACTCCAAGAGGGACCTGTTAAGTGTGCTACAAAAAAACAGGGTTCTTGTGTTGTCCAGCAACACCTATCCTGGTGTGGGTCAAGTGGTCCAGCTCAACTACAGCAGGCGCCTCTTGAACCAGGTGCTCTATCTACATCGAGTAGTGATGTTGGAACGTAATCGTGCAAGACTCAATTACAGCTTTTACATTTAGAAAAAAGAAACTGATATCAAATTCATTCTTTTGCAAAATAGTTATGGCACAAGCAGTGCCAAAATTAACAATATGTACAACAGAAGAATGTTTATGAATTAAATTTCAACTGCCAATACTGAAACACATTTTTGTTTGTCCTTTGCAATTTATTTCAGCATAAAAAAAATTATATAAGACCCTTATTGCATGCTAAATCTGAGTCATTAAAGTGGAGTCAGACTTGGCATTCAATTTCCAGCGCTACATAAATGAATGAAATGAAATGCAAATGGAAAGGAAGAACTATCAATAACAAAGAAACAAATAACAACTACAAAAATTATCTCTAGTCATATCAAAACTTAATTGTTATTTCCATTTTCATTAGGTTTCTTTGTATAACCTTATGAAAAAGACAAAATCAGCATTCTACACCAATTTGTACAATATATTGGTGCATTCTGTCTGCAGTTTTGCCTTTCCTTCCCTATTACAGGCTATGAAAGCTCAACATGAGCTACACATATACATAAACAAGATGATTGGACAAGCACATAAACCGATGCATACATTAAATATTACAGTCTTTGGGGGAGAAAGAATACATAAAAAATAGTGCTCTTTGGGAGCCTCCTCACTGGGTTACAGAAAAGAAAAATTATCAAATATTTCTTTCTGAATCTCACGTCCTTGCTGGACATTTCGTTAAAAAGAAAAATGCAGGAACTATGTATGGCAATACATACCTCCCAACTGACTAACTGCAATTACATATCACAGCATTACATTATTAACACTAACATAAGACAATCATGAGTGACCCCTGCTTTTAAATATATACATATACATTTTTTTGTAGTTTATTTTCCCTTGTGTTTTTATTCTTAAATTTTTAAAGACAAATCCTACTCTCTCAATGTTTCAATACCTCTCACCGCTGGCCTCAAATCTTCTGTCATGGCTTAAACTGAGTGCGAGTAGGTCAAGATAGCTACTTAAAGCCAAAATATACATCTTTTTAAATCTACTCACTCGAAAACATTTTAACTTAGGAACACAGGACATAATTTTCAATTATCCAGATTTTTTTTAAAAAACAGAAAGAAAAAAAAAGGCCTTATCTAGTTTATCTTGAGCAAAACATATCCTCCTACACAAAGTAATCTAGACCACAATTAAGCTTTTCATTACCAACTTTTTCTCAGTAAGTAACTTTGAGTGCCAAGTGACTGGAATGTCCTGCAATCAATGTTTCTAGTGTCTGGCATCCAGCTATTTCTCAAGCCTTATCATGGAATGATATAAGGACTATTTTCCACAGTCACATAGGAAGTGAACTTTGATGCACACCTATCCTACGGTTGTCAAATTATCCCAACATGTTTGAAAATGCGTAGTCTCAACTTCGATCTTCTGTGTATATTCTTTTTTCTATAGAGCCCGGAAACATGCATGTTTTCTTTGTATATGTATATCCTCACACATAATAGTACATACATACATTTCTTTATGTATATGTTTGCACAAACACATACTCACATACATACATGAATACAAATATCCATATGTACAAACACACCAACATGCACACACAAACTGACTTACATGTGCAATTATAAATGTGTGACAATGTATATAAATTTATATAAAAAACAAATAGCAAGTGAGAGAGTGAAAAAAAAACACAAATGTTTCCTAAAGCTCACCATTTAGCATAATATACAAGGAAGCACTTTTATGATATGATATATAAAAAAAAAAAAAAAAAAAAAAAAAAAAATAGAGAGATAATGAGAAAAAAGTCCACATCTAACTGTACACCCTTCGAGTCATTCTCAAAAAATAACTCTTCAACCAAGACCCACACTTACAAACAGCCAGTTAACACCCTCCGTAGCATCATTGATCTAGCTTCTCTAGCTCCTCGGGCGTCTTGGCAAGCGAGTGCCGTGAGGACGTTTTGGAGCGCCGTGGGAGGGTGTCAGAGTGGCATGAAGGGGGGTCTGAGTGGCAGGAGGGGATGGCCTCTGTCTTGTGGGAGGGAGTGGAGGTTGAGTGCCGGGTCAACGTGTCGGAGTGGCGTGAGAGTGTGTCAGAGTAGCGAGAGATGGAGTCAGAGTTCCGGAGGGGTGTGCCACTGGAGTGTCGTGAAGGGGTGTTTCTGGCATTCCGGTCTTCGATGTCATCGCTGTTATGATTCAGTGACATGTGGCTGCCCTTCTTTGGGGAGTGCTTGAAGCCGTTCTTCTTACATGTGTTGCTGTTGTTACTGGAGGGTGCATCCCCACTGAGGCTGTTGGAGCTCATGCTGCTCTTGGGGATATTGTTGATGCTGGCTGTGTGCTTGGACGTGAGGCACTGCTTCTCCTGGTCATCCCCAATCATGTCCTCCATCTGGACTGATCCACTGGGGTTGGCTGTGCGGTCTGGCATGTTGCTTCTTACGACCTTTCGGGAAGGACCTGTTGGAAGGGAGAGTGGGTCAAATAGGAATCAGTACATAGGATCCATCTGCGCAGGGCATGGAAACATTTGTTCTCTTCTCTGTTTGCATACAAGTATGGTCATGGTTGCACACAATATAAAATATGTAACAGATAGGAAAATATTATATTAAACAAATTAATTCTCCTCAAGCTGACCAAAAAGCAAACTTGTACAAATTGCACCTTTCTTTTGCTCATAAAAAAATAAACAATAACTAGTATATTCTCTGCCTGGAGCCTGACTAACTTACCAACAAAACTAAGAAGAACGGGTAACAAGATGAGGCCATGAAGTGCCCCAATCACCACCATTCCAAAATACATTCTGAAGTAAAACACCTGGAAGAGGGAGGAGATAATTGTAATGAATAGTGCTAATTAAGTGGCTCAATGCGCTTCGTTAGAATATCAAGCATAGTATATTAAAAGCCAAAAAATAAAGATATATATAATAATAATTATGATAAATATAGTAAAAATCATAATAAAAATACTACTACTACTGCTAATAATAATGATCATAATAATTATACTAGTAAATAACTGTAAATGCTCATTACTATAACACAACCTAAATTAGTCTTTGTAGATTACAAGGTTCTACAAATTCCCTGTTTCTAAAATACAGAAGAAGTGGAATAAGACATACCTGGAAAATCTTTGAGTTAGCGAAAGCCAGGACAACAACGCCCATATCACTCAATGTGATACCGGACAGCATGGAGGGCCCCATACGCACCAGAGCGGCCTGGGCTCGCACAATTCTTGTATCGGCCTCACTGACGGCAAAGGCACGTGTGGTGTGGGAGCAGAACTCAACAGAGATGCCAATGGCCACAATGAGGTTGACAAGTGAGATGGCATTGAGTGAGATGCCCCACATGTACATGAGGCCTCCCATGTTGGTTAGGATAAGCACCACCATCACCATGATGATGAGGGAGGACGACACATCGAAGCCCATCATGAAGAGCGTGATGAAGAAGATGGCAATGACGGAGATGCCCAGCATGCGCACTGTGTCTTCCCAGATGGTGAGGTATTGTTCATAGAATACGTAGAACACACTGTGAGGGGGAGAGGGGCGCGAATGAGTGATTAGGGGTATGTCGGGAAAAATGTGTTTAGGCAAAAGTAATCATCATTCTACCAATATGCTTATCTTTTGATTAAATTCTATATTTCTGCTAGCCATACTGTTAACAAAGAGCAACAAACAAAAGAAAATTTATATATATATAAAGTCCCTTACTAACCTATAAGGGAAGACTTCATATTTAGTCTCTCCGCTTGGCACCAAGACTCCGTCTTTCTCCACCAGGTTAAGTGTTCTAGTAATGTTGTCTGCGATGGCCCTGGCTGCACGAAGAGCTTCATAAAAGTGGTGGCTCGTGCGCATGACTGTGTGGTATGTCATGAAGACATTGGCTCCAGTGACTGGGTTGCCTGAGTCATCGTAATGAACTTTGACACTCTGGAATTATTGGAGGAAAAATGGATGATTAGACATTTGAGGATATAATAATTATGATAATATAAAGAAGGATGAAGTTCTGTTTATTAAAACAAGACATCAAAGACATACAAGAGACTTCCTAAAAAACTAAAGAGAGAAACTGAGTAAGATATCATTATAGCAAGAGGGAACCCTAAAAGAAACTAAAAGTTCACAATCTAATCTCACCTGGCCGTAGGCTGCATGACCGGCCTTGGGGCAATGGAGATCAGGGTTGTCCTTCAGGAACATGGGCAGGTACTGTCCAAACACCTCAGGGTCAGGGCGGAAGGGGTTGTTGGGCATAGGAGTAATGGGGCATGTGTGGCAGTCCTTCCTAACACTACGACGTCTCCTCAGGTAGGTCCGTGCTGCAGATGCCTTCCTCTCACTTGACGAAGTTGTCTCCAGGTTGTAGTCAGGCCAGCCGTTGTCCAGGTGCCTCTCGCCTGTAGGAACCTTGGTCACTGGGGCCTCCTTCAGCTCCTGTGGCTTGCGCTTAGCCTGCTTATTGGTCTTAAGGCCGTCGTAGTCAAAGTCTGGGTCACCATATGTGTATGAGTAGTCATAGATATCTTCTTCATACTTCTCCTCAGGTTTTTTGTTGCCCTGTTCCTTCTTCTCCTCCTTCTTCTTAACAGGTTTGTCTCCGCCAGAGTAGTAGTCAATATCCAAGTCTCCGTAATTGTAGTCGTAGTTGGTGTCATCATTGTACACAACGTCAAAATCTGGTCCACCGTAGTCTATGCTGGGTTTTTTAGTCACTGGGTTATCTTCACTAGTGCTGTTTTTGACTCCTTCACCTCCACTGTCAGTATTATCAATAATATCTGGTTTCTCTATATAGTCTATGTCTTCTTCAAAGATATAGGAGTCATCCTCTGCCTCTCGTCTGCAGAAGGTGCCATTATCGTAAAGCTGGCAGCAGTACTTCCCTTCCAGAGACCACTCAAAGTAGTCGTCGATCCAGGCAGAAGATGGCACGGCAATGAAGGTTCTGCAAGATTACATTATTCCCATTACGTTTTTAATTAATTACATATCAAATTGTATGGCATCATCTAGAGAATATACAAGAAAACTTCAGTTCTGCAAAGTATAGAAATTCAATAAAAGAAAGAAGACAATAAATATAGAATAAAAAAGGGGAGAAACAATATCAATAACAGACAACTCACCGATTTGGAATTTGTGAAGCTAATTTCAGCTGAATTAAGAGCGAATCTTTATTACAGCCCAGATGCGAACATATCTTATTCTGCATGTCATAATCACTGAAGTTGTACCCATGTTTTAGTACAAAATAGACTGGGGCCCCTACACATCCATACTTTTCCAGGTACTGTGAACATAGAAAAATTATGATTAGTATCAAATACCTCCAAAAGTAAAATCACAATAAAATGCATATAAATATCTACCACTTTCTTTCACAATATATATACATATATATATATATTATATATATATATATATATATATATATATTATATATATATATATATATATATATATATATATATATATATATATATATATAAAGTATGTATGTAAGAAATACAACTAAAGAATATATCTGCTCACCTCAAAATACTTCAAAACATATGAATCGTCTGGCATAGATAGCTCCTCCTCTAATCCAATTTCTATGTGAGGAACCATGGCCACTGAGGAACACAGCCAAAACATGAACACCACAATCACCACTGCGCGAACCCAGGGCCGCATGAGGAAGGGTGCATATGTTGTCTCGAAAACCTGGAATTCAAATATTTTTTTGTTTTTATTTCATGGTAAGAGTGAGGGCAGGGTTGGCTAGATAGATTGATAAATAGATAAATAGATAAATAGATAAAAAGAGAGAGAGAGAGAGAGAGAGAGAGAGAGAGAGAGAGAGAGAGAGAGGAGAGAGAGGAGAGAGAGAGAGAGAGAGAGAGAGAGAGAGAGAGAGAGAGAGAGAGAATGAAAGAATGAAAGGGAGAGACAGAGAGGGAATAAAATATGAATCGTATTCTATAACTGACTATAAAGAGAAAAAAAGAAAATAAATAATTAAAGAAAGAAAGAAAGAAAGAAAAAAAATCACAAAAGAAGGGGCAAAAATTCATACCTTGTGTAAAAATCTGGTGTCGGAATCCATTTCAACTTTGCTTCTTCGTATGCAGCAGCAGACATCAAAACGGCTATCCTGGAAACATAAGAGGAAGATTAATTAGCAAATGATCACATTGCCAGGAAAGCACAGAAAACAAACCATTCATCATAAATCACCTAGGGAAAAAATGTTCAAAACAGCAGACAGAAAGACATACATGATAAGATGTAAGATACAATTCAGAGAGAAGAGTGAAATGGAAAAGTAAAGCTCGTAACGTACCTCCTCCCGGGCAACATCCAGTGAGAAAAGAGCCACAAAGAGGGTCATCTGCAGGACAAAGTTGATCAGAAGGCTCATCCCTGCGTACATGGCAAATGCCTGGACAGCCGGCATATCAGAGAGAGCCCCTGCAAAGCAACATGGGAAATCATTAGTCACATTTGTATTTGAGCTGATGCCAAAGACTGACAAATAGCCTTTGTAAACCCAACAGCAAAATATTTAAGTAAAAAGAAAAAGCAAGATGGGGACAGGTGAGGTGAGTTCTCTCTCTCCTTACCTAAGAAGAAGCAGCAAGACTGGGAGATGGATGATAGGAGCATGGACGGACCAACAGAACCCACGGCACGGCCAATCAGCTGCGATCTGGTGTCCTCTTCTGTGCGGTCAAGGCTGGCATACGCCTCCACAAGGATGAAGATGTTGTCAACTCCTACAGCCAGCACAAGGAAGGGGATCACCTACGTGGGGAGACAAAGGGGGAACCATAAGAAATCTATCTTTTCCTGATCAATACAATTCAGAGACACATTTAACAAGTCAACTGGCATAAAAAAATTAAAAGAGGTAAACATACGAACCTCAATGATAAGCATAGTGCACGGGACTCCAACGTATCCATAAAATCCAACTGCTGAGAACACCGAAACTAAGACAATCAGCACTCCTCCGAGACCCAGAGTCACTTTTGTTGAAATCTGTTAGAAAGTAAAATACACTTATAACCCCTCAAAGCCAGTCTGTACTTGAATAAGAATAAAGGATAAGGTGTCAAAACAAAAGATGAGGAACATATAAACACAAGTTCACATATGGTGATAACAACTGTGACCTCTCATCATAACAAGAGTAAAACAAGTAAAAACACATAATTTACAGCTTCTGCAGCATCCCTATTCACATACCAAGAGACGACTGCAGTGGTTGGTGTGTCCCAAAGCCAAAGCAATGTAAAGGAACATGATGATATATGAGATGATGACTGTTGGCAGGTCAGACTTGCTCATTCGAACCAGCTCGTCCTCAATGGAGCGCTCCGAACGGAAGGCAATGTCCATCATGGGGTGTGAGTAGTTGAGCATGAATTCATTAAACCTGTTGGTGGTGAAAAGCAGGAGTGAGCACTGGTTGTAAAATGAGTAAAAACACTTCAACCTAAGAAGAACAAATTTAGATTAAAAATATTTTTACAAAATTACCATAATTCAATTCAAAAAGAAGTAAGTTCCCAACTTCCATCCATTCTTTGAACAATCTATCAAAAAATTTATTAGTCTACCTATCAACCCACTAACCTACCCATTTATCTATTTACCCACACCCTAAATACAAAACCAATTGCCAGACTTACACTTTTTCCCAAGCCAGAGCCGGTTTCAGCATGGACGTGTTGAAGAAGTTGTTGATGGGCAGGGTGATGACAAGCGTGTCTGCCAGCATGTAGTTGGGATTTTCCGAGAGCGTTTGGTTCTTTGCTAAGAAACCCCCGAGAGCTACATGGGGTAGGACAGGACCTCCATAGGATCCCATACAGTGTTCCTGGTAGGCATTTCTGTTGAGGCAAATCAAATTCAAAATCAAAATACCAATTACAGGCTCGATGTATATGCACACGTGTAAAATAATAAATAAATAAAAATTAAAAAATGGAAGAATAGAAAAAACAGACGTACCCAATACATGATTTTGCATGGTGAATATCCGAAGAATTCAATACAGTCTCATCATTCTGCCAGAAATTCAATATCGACTGGATGTTGCAGTTGAGGTTATCTGGGGCCATGGGCTTGTTGCAGATGTCATACAGGGTCACCGTTTCCCCATCTACCTCTGCTTGCAGCTGAAATGAAAGGGGTTCGTATTAATGTAAGAAATAAAAAATCTGATCTCATATACAAATGCAAATAAAAAATATAAATAAGAGAAGGCATTTAGTGCCAACATTCTTCACTAAAAACTGAAATCTAAAAATCTCAATAAAAAAATATTTTTCAGAAATGTAATAAGCACATACTTTTTAATAAACATAAATAATAAATGATGATCAATGAAAGAATAAAAAAGAATCCTCTAATTTTCTTAAGAGTAATAAAGAAAAAAGCAGCTTAAAAAGGGAAAAACAAAATTTTACCTCATTTGCAATATAGTTCTGAAGTTGCAACACCTCCTTCAAGAAACTCATGTTGTACACTGGGCCATATGTCTCGTTGTTTACCTCATACTGCAAGAAAGTAATCTAAGGTTATTCTTGGTCCTCTCTCCTAAAAAAAATATAAATATGTACAGCTTATACGATATCATCTCAATCTAACCTAACCAAGGAGGAGGAGGAGGAGGAGGAGGAGGAGGAGGAGGAGGAGAAGGAAGAATATAAAGAATGAGGAGGAGGAGGAAAAAAGAAAGAGAAGAAAGGAGGAAAGGAGGAGGAAGAGGAGGCTAGTAGATTCTCAGGAGGCTCCTATGGAGTTTTATAAACAACACATGTGTAGAATTCATGCTGGACAAATTGTACATAAAACAACAAAGGGAAGGGCTCTCCCCTTCAGTGTTTTATTTATGGGAGAGAAGATAAGTACAGAGATGAAGTAGAAAAAGAAGAAAAAATAAACCAATGCAAGCAAATGAAGCTTCAGCAACTCACGCTCTCAATCCCCACTGGACGGATGAAGATCTGGGCGGTGCGGTAGAATGGCTCAAAATTCTGATCATAATAGTTCTTCTCTAGCCTGGAGCGAGAGTTGGGTGACGCCCAGAGATCTACAGGGTCTGTAGTGATCTGCAGGAACAGGATTCCAACGCAGAGGGACGCAGCCACACACAAGCCGATGCACATGACTTTCCATGGGTGGCCTGCACACACTGGAAGAAAGAGGGGAGTGTGAAATTGTCATCTATCCTTCCCATCCTTCTTCCCAAATTACTAAAAACACACCTAAAAAAAAAAAAAAATTAACACACACAGCTCTTGCGACTTACATGTTCCCCATTTTGTGAAGAATTGATCGACGGCTGTCTGTGTCCAGTTTGTCAGCCGTTCCGAGAAAGAGAGCTCATCATGCATCACGACCTCTGGCATGTCTGCAGTCGGCCGTCCTGAAAGGCAAGATGATTTCTTGACTCAGTTTCTACTCAAGTATTACTGAAAATGGTCTTAGTAGCTGGATATTAACAACTTGAAGATAATGAGAACAATAAGAAAAAGTTTAGATACATTATTAGCAATAAATATGTGCAGATTACTAAACTCATCTGGCAAGAAATTCTTAATGGAACACACTGTAAAGAAATTTGATATCTCTTTAATCAAAGTAAAACTCTTCAGAGAATTTTTGCTCACAATAAATCAGGTTAAAGGCCTCTTTAAATGATCATAGTTTATTAAGTGTAAATCATGCTAAATCCCTAATAAACAATTCCAGATAATCATTGAAAAAGAAAAAGGAAAAAAGAAAATATATATACATTTAAGTCTGTACTGTATCCTTGACACACTACATTATCTCTTTTTAAATACATTAAGCTCATAAAATCAAAATAACACTAAACTTAAGAAAATAAAAGAGAATGATCTTACCATGAAGAAGTGAATTCTCATCTTCACCCGCAAACTGAGCCTGAGGATCTGACAAATGTGCAAGACGGCGGCCAACTGCTGATCTGATCTCTTCAGGGTGACGCATACTACGCTCCACCATCACCGCTACAGAAGAATTATTCCTATTAGTATCCCAGCTATGGGCTTTCCATAAACATGACAGTGGCCAGTCACTAGATTAACTGATACTTGGTAAAAGTAAACTATATGATACTGTCAAACATACTAATTACAGATGGTGATTTTAGACATTAAACTGACCACCACTAATGCATATCAGCCATATACATTCAGTATTCTGAATATGCATCACACCCATCATGCACGTGTGGCAATGTGCGAGGGATTCAGGGAGCATGACCCACAGCCAATGCATGAACAGTGAAAAACCCCTCTCTGGTTTCTCACTGCAGGCACACAGCATGTGACAAATGCACTGACTCCCTCGCATCATCCTTTAGGGAGCGGGGGCCTAATACCTGCGACTGGCTTCTTCTCCTCTTTATTTACCTGAATCAGCCATATAAACACCTTGACACCCTCTGTAATTACCACAGCAAATCAGTTAAAAGCTACAGCCACCAAGAGTATAAGAAATAAGGCTTACTGCCTGCAGAAATGAAAGAGCGATAAAAAAAAATAAGAGTAACAAGAAAATGCACAGAAAGATAGTTGCTTCTTAAGCCATATTAAAAGAGAACAAAAGAGCAGAAAATGTACAAGTGCTTCATAAGGACATCTTCCAAGTACACTTCAAGTTGGCTGCTAATTTACACATGACAAATCAAAGTGCAGTAAAAAGAGTAAAGAGCAAAGCTAAAGCATTTCAATTTTATTGAATTCAAAAGACACAAGAAAAGAAACACAAAGAAGTCAGGGTGCAGAAAATAATAGTGACGAAAAGGGCATTCATGAAGAGAGACAAATGGTGATGATACTGTAACAAAGACAAAGTGAAAATGCACAAAACACATAAGAAAGGGAGAGGAAAAAACAGGCACCACCAACAATGCTATATCTAAGACCCACAAACATGGATGTAGGACAGGACAGGCTAACAGAAAGAGATAACCAAGAACTAATACTGAAAACCCCATCCACTCACCTGTATATCTCTTATTGCGCTTGTGGCAGTAAGCAAAGACCACGAGGAACGAGACAGAAAAGAGCACCGCTGTGAGGGCCATGGCCACCGCAAGGCCATCGTACCCAAACATGATCCAAGGCTCTCCAGGGGCGTCCCATGTGTCTGGGATGATAGGGCACGAGCTCTGGCAATCAGCACACGAGCATGCTAAGCTCCCCTGTGGTAAAGGAAAGAGGGGAGGGAAAGTGAATTAACCATACTGGGTATTATCATTTACAGGATGTTATAGATTAAAAATAAACAGAATGAATATGGCTTTCACCTCTCAATGGCTGCCTCCTACAGTTCTAACCCACAATACTTTCCCTGATACTCTGAACTATTTTCTAAAGAGTCCATAGGGACATATGTAGAAATGGGTATGAATGAGAATGAATGACTTCACAGTGCACAAAATGCATTGTTATTCTAGTGAAGTTATCCATTCTCATTCAAATCTTTCTTTCCCCCACATACAATCCCTTTCCCCGAACAGCGGTCTCACTCACCTCGAAATCTGTATTACATGGCTGAGCTGTTTCATTGAGAGGGATGATGTTCCCGGGCGCTTCCTCTGTGCTTTTGACATAGTGGTACTGGATGTTGATGGGAGTGTAAACATTGACTTCCTTATTGCCCAAGTAGTTGAACAGCCTCTCTCCTGTACACCGTGGGGCGCCCCAGTCTCCACAGAATAGCCCTGTTGGGGGTAATTGAAGATCATTAAAGTTGTTTTGTGTATCTGTGTCTTTCAGATTTTCTGAATTCTTCAATTTCTTTTTCTTATTTTCCTCTCTCTCTCTCTCTCTCTTTAATTCTATTTATGATTTTAATTTCTTCTACTATAAAAAGGGCTAACTAAACATTTATTTCATTCTTCTCTATTTTGTGGATTTTCTCTTGGAAAACAATTTTTTGTTTCTTCCATTCTGGCTCAAGTTAATGGTGCCTACTCAAGACATGGTGAGACTTCTCATTTTTTTTTTTTACATTTCACTTGAACATGTCTTTCTCTTTTTCTTTCTTTCTTTCTTCCCTTATCCTTCTATTTCTTAAAGTCCATTTACATAAAAAATGTGTAACTTTTTCTTTATCTCTGTAACCAGGCACCAACATGGAACCAACTCATAGTCATTTAATGAATAGAACTATCCCGATCACTCACCCATTACTCGGTCATTTGTGGACGGGGAAACAACATCACGACATGATGAATATACTTTGTCCACGAAGTCCTTTGACATGTAGAACTTCATATCTACTACCATGTGTTGTCCTGAAAATTGGGAGAATTACCATTTCAGTGCAATTCTGTAATATATAAATAGACTATTCCTATAAAAATGCAACATCAATTTAAACAAAATCTGAGGAAAACCCCAGTGTAATAATAAAAAGAGAGAAACCCAAGAATTTACTAACCCTTCTTGTCCCTGTGTGTCGCAGGCACATACGACACAGGCTCCAGGAACTCCGACTGATGTGGCGAACATGTCATGTAGCAAAAGGGGATGCGGATGTTTCTGATGCAGGCAGGACACCGTACCAGGAACATCTTCATCATCCCAAGGGACTGAGAGAGAGCTAGTGCCTGTCGGTCGTTGCAACACGTGTCTAGCTGCCCGTCCTCAGTTACTATTACGTGGGAGATGCAAAGTGTTAGGCTTCTTTGGTAAAGCTTTTGATGGTCTCAAAGTAGAGCAAAAGTTCTCAATCTCTCTATTCTATGTAACAAGGTATTACATAAGAGGTTTTGTTAGAAGACGAAATAATATATCAGAAATTCTAATCTGATAAAATAAGCGCTGGAAGTTCTCATGAATGGTGATCAAATATATAACTACAGAATCTGATATCAAGACAAGCAACCACTGGCAACAATTTAAATCACAAGTGTGTATTTTCACTTTTAAATCGATACTTACTGTATTCTCTAACAAGTTCTGGACAAGTCTGGTTAAGGATCTTGATTCCCTCTGCAGTGAGGGATTTTGCCGTCCCATTGTATGCGCAGTTGAGGCTCCCTCTTTCGCTCATGCCGCACTCATCGTACCAAATGCACTGGCCACACTCTCCCTGGGGGTAAAGAAATAGGGTCAGAGCTGGAACTGGGTTGCGCAGAAGTGCTGTTAAATGAAACGGCAGTTAAAGTGAATTGCAATTGAAGGTATCATTAATGTTATACCTTATTTTCTTTTGCTTCTTTTTTAGTCTGTCTGTCATTTTTTTCAATTGGATTCATTTTTTTCTCTTTCTCTGTCTGACAATCATACCTTTCAGTTTATCTATCAACATCAACAACACAACTTGTAACAGTAATAATAACTAAAAAATCCTGAAATAAAAGTGACAAAACAAAACCCAAACAATGATTGCAGAGTTACAGAGTGCATCTGTGAGAAAAAAAGAGGCTTTTAAAAACCCATAAAGAGATGAATCAAAATAAGAAGAAAACTTAAACTTCCTTTAACTTCTCACTCACACAAGCAACATTCCCACATAAATCTTAGGTAGTTTAAGACTTAAGCAACACCTGAGAAATATAAATCTTCTTAATCTAATTCCATGATAATAATCATAATAATAAAAACAACAACAATAATAACCATAATAATAATAATAATAACCATAATAATAATAATAAGAATAATAATAATAATAATAATAATGACAATAATAATAATAATAATAATGACAATAATAATAATAACAAATATTAATAATAATAATAATAAATAATAATAATAATAATAATAATAATAATAATGATAATAATAATAATAATAATAACAACAACAATAATGATAATAATAATAATTATTCTAATAATGATAAAAAAATATATAGAATTATAGTAATATTCATTTAAAAGTCAGAAGCCCAAAGAAAAGGACACCTGACCCAAGAAAATATCTTACACTAAAATTCAAAAAGGGGAAAATGATTTGCTTCCAAAGTGAAGAGAGACTGTATCAACTTTCCGCGAGTATCCCTCTCACAGCCAGACAATTAAACAACGGGTGCAGGCAAATCATGTGCCTGACCTACTTTGACCTCCTGTCTGGGACTCCTGCCAGCTGAGAGGCGTTTGTTCCTTCCTTCCGTCTTCACTCACAAATGGGCCAAAGTCCTTGGGGCCTAATCTCTCGTCTCAGTCGGGATTAGTTGTGTTTGTCCATCGCTGTTTGGCTGTCTGTCTTTGTGTGAGTATTTGGGTTGAGGTGTTGGGGAGGGGGAGAGGTGTCTCTCCTGTCTCCCTCTCCCTCTTTCTCCCCCTCACCCTTCCTCTCCCTCTTTCATATCTTCCCCATTCTTCTCCCCCTTTCTCCCCCCCCACCTTTCCATTTCTTCCTTCTCCCCCTCATCCTTCCTCTCCCTCTTTCTCACCCTCACCCTTCCTCTCCCTCTGTCTCACCTTTACTCACTCTTTCTCTCCCTCTGTCTCACCTTTATTCACCCTTTCTCTCCCTCTGTCTCACCCTTACTCACCTTCCTCTCCCTCCTCTTTACTCTAACCTTCTCCCTCACCCTCATCAACATCCTTTCACTCAGCAAAACTAAACAATAGCAACATTACATCACAGCAAAGTTATTTTTGCATATTCCCTTACACATCATACAGAAAAATATCCACATTTAGACATGGGAAACATAACTCGGATAAAATGAAAAACAAAACAAGACTATCAGCCAGTTTGTTAAAATTGTGCCAGGCTCAACCCAATGAATTATCATATATGTGGACATACATATGCACAGAAATAAATGCATATCTCTCTATCTATCTGATAAATATACATTCATCTATCTATCTATAATGTAAATATGCATGTCTAGACTGACAGATATGCACTTATTTCAGTGTATATGCATGTCTGTAGGGTTGGGCCTCGCACAATTCTAACAAACCAGGCATATATGTATACACAATTCTGTTTCACAAAATCTGAATCTTACTTTTAACACTAACATTGTACAGCAAAAATAATTCAGCATTGTCAAGGCAGCTTCATTACAAAGCTTAACATCAGAGTTTTAATAATCAAATCGCATTTCTATTCTGTCAAAGGCTTAAAAAAGTAACTTCTGCTTTGTAAACATTTGAACATATGTTAACCTAATAAAATATAGGTCACCTGAATATTACATAACATAAACCCCAATGACATTATTCTCCATACAAACAAAACTTTTGATCAATGAAGAGCAAAAAAGAAAAAGAAAGAAAAAAACAAGAAAAGAAAAGAAAAGAAAAGAATAATCGGGCAAAACGCAAATCAATGAAAACAGGAGAAACAAAGAAAAAAAGAAAAAGAAAAGAAATAAAACCTGGAAAAAAAGGAAAAAAAAATCATATAATCAATCAACCTCTACGCACCAGTGACATAAAACACAAACTAATCCCTGAACCGACATAACGCCCTTCCGCCAGCTGAACTTCCGAGGTCAAACTAGGTCATCAGACAAGGTCGTATAAAGGGTGATATAAACTTAATCCAGGTCAAGTCATTTGCTGGTATGACCTCACTTCCTGCATTCTTTTTTTTTTTCTCTTTTTTTTTGTTATTAGGAGGGCGCAGCAAATGGGGTGTGGGTGGGAGGGAAAAAGGGAAAAGGGAAGAATACGTAAACTTTATTTTAGAATGGCGTGGTGCAGCAGGAGGAAGGGATGTGTGTGAGTGAGAGAGAGAGGGGAGAAGGGAAAAGAGTGAGGGAGAGAGAGGGAGAAATAGGGGGGGTGGGGGTTAGGGAGAGAGAGGAGGGAGGGAGAGGGAGAGGGAGAGGGAAGAGAGGGAGAGAGGGAGAGAGAGAGAGAGAGAGAGGGAGAGAGAGGAGAGAGAGAGAGAGAGAGAGAGAGAGAGAAGAGAGAGAGAGAGAGAAGAGAAGAGAAGAGAAGAAAGAAGAGAAAGAGAAAGAAGAGAAGAGAAAGAGAAGAGAGAAGAAAGAAGAGAAGAGAAGAGAAGAGAAGAGAAGAGAAGAGAAGAGAAGAGAAGAAGAAGAGAAGAAAGAGAAAGAGAAGAGAAGAGAAGGAAGAGAAGAGAAGAGAAGAAGGAGAGAGAGAGCAGGAGAGAAGAGAAGAGAGAGAGAAGAGAGAGAAGGAGGGAGAGAGGGGAGAGAGGGAGAGAAGAGAAGAGAGGAGGAGAGAGGGAAGAGAGAGAGAGAGAGAGAGAGAGAGAGAGAGAGAGAGAGAGAGAGAGAGAGAGAGAGAGAGAGAGAGAGAGAGAGAGAGAGAGAGAGAGAGAGAGAAAATGTCCCCGAACAGTATTGCAAAATCCACACATTTCACAAGATCCGAGGACGAATGAGGAAGACCATGAAGTCCCTTCACAATTCCAAAATCCCCCAACCCGGAAACACCTACTGTAGACATTTCAAATTCCTGGGAACAATTGTCATGGCTGCCTCACTTTCCACCTTTTTCAGAAATAATAACTTTGTCTTGCTTACCTGGATATTCGGGTGAGAAAAAACATGCTAAATTTTCTGTCGTTATAAAACTACATTTACTTCGTTTAATGGTAATTGACTGGGCAAAAAAAATATACGTTGTGGTGGCGAGGAAAAAATTAACCGAATAAGGAACACATGGCAACTCACATCATGAAGCTATGACATCATTGTCTATAGTCAAACCGTGACGTCATTCTGAGCGGGTCACCTTGGTGCCGCTGTGCAACATTCTAATTCTTCATTATAAAAATCCGAAAGCTTTATATCAGATTTACAAAAAGACCTTTCCTCGATTTTTTTTTTTATATATATTTCTTCTGAGATTACATACGAGTTATATACTGGCAAAGCGTTGCTACTCCTAACGATGACATCACATGATTGTCGTCATAAGAGTGACGTCATCGTACACGCATGCTCCGTTTTCTGTGACGATGACGTCACGAAATATGCAGGGCGCTTTCCCTGGAACATCAACGGAGGCAGCCATGTTGAACTGCCGTGCTCCAACCCGCGCAAAACACTGCCG